GAAGCAATAGAATCATCATATAGTGAATAATGTGAAAAGAGCAAGAAAAAAAAGTGAAAAAGAAGCGCTGATTAATTATATCATAACTATATATTTACTATTAAATGTCTTTGTTGTTGTATTCAGTTTCATTTCATGGTTTCTTTTTGTTTTTGGTATGTTTTGGATCGTTTCTTCATTTTTATTCTTTATTTAGACAATTTGGTTTTCCAATTTTTTTTATATATATTTATTCATAAAATAGATTCTGGAACTTGTAAAGCACAAACACAAACACACACACACACACACTACTCAACATGCGGAAACAAAACGAAAAAAGAGTTGAAGAAACCAAAAAGCAAAAATAATTTTTTTTGGTTGTAGATGGTTGTCATTTAATTCTGGGTAACAAGAATAACAATTCTTTTGCCGTCGTCGTCGTCGTCGTGTTGTTGTTGTTGTTGTTTGAGTTTAATTATACTGTCTGATGAAATGAACAACAACAACAACAACAACAACAGCAACGACGGCGAAAAAAAAACCAGAAAAAAAGTTTTCCATCTACCGTCGATTCACATTTATTTATTTATTCTGCATCGTGATCGGTGTTATGGTTCAAGAATGGAAAAAAAAGTGAAACAAAATGAAAACAAGAAATTGAATTCATCATCATCATCGACAACAGAAACTCTTGGATCAAGTTACCTAATGAAATTCGGTTTTGATTATGAATATAAAAAAAATTGGTGAAAAGCAAAAAAAAACAAACTTTGTTTTGTCATAAATATTCGTGTGTTGACGAATGTTTTCATTTCACAATAATCAATGTGATTCTGGCTGGATATTAGTATATTTTTTTTAGATGTTGTTATTGTTGTTGTTGTTGTTGTTGTTCATGTTTTGATTCCATGGTCTCAAAAGCAGAACTTTTTTTTTGTTCTTTATTTATGAAACCAAAAATCATTGGAAGAAAAAAAAAAGAAATCCAAAGATGAAATAAACACAAACTTTGAAAATGAATGTAAACGATTCTTAAATTACAAATTCAGTAATAAATTAAATGGTTGAAAGCTAAAGAGAGAGAGAGAGAGAGAGAGAGAGAGAGAGAGAGAGAGAGAGAGAGAGAGAGAGAGAGAGAGAGAGAGAGAGAGAGAGAGAGAGAGAGAGAGAGAAATTATTTTTGATCAAACGATACAGATGACGACAAGTCAATTTGATTTTTTTTTTACAAAATTCTTCTAGTTGTTGTTGTTGTTGTTGTTGTTGGACCAACCAATTTTCAGCTCAAATGATTTTGAATGAATAATTTTTTCATCATCATCATCATCTCTGCTATCGTTATGTTTATATACACCCACACACACACACACACACACACAATGATCCGATTATTTGTTTTATATATTGGATTTTTTTTCTTCTACTTCGTTGCAATTCACCGGAAAATTGTGTGTGTGTGTGTGTGTGTGTGTGTGTGTGTGTGTGTGTGTGTGTGTGGATGGATTTCGATCAATTGAATTGATTTTTTTTTTTCTTTCTTTCTTCAAAAAATATATTCACCATATATATACACATGGATGGAATTTTTCTTCTGATGTTGCCGGAATGAAAAAAAAATTTTTTTTATTCTTCGGTTCATGTTTGATATACATATAAACCATTATAATGATGATTTTCGATACATTTTCTTATTTTTTTTCGCAATATACAATGAACCATGAACAAACGAAAAAAAAAATGAAATAAATCTCTGTGTATTTTTTTTTCTCGTTGTTGTTGTTGTCGTTGTTGTTGTTGTTGTGAATAATTTTGTAACAAACAAACATTAAACATTAACCCAATTTTTGTGGTGTTTTGAATGAATGAATGAATGAATGGGAAAAAAAAAAAATTTCATCAAGATTTTATAACAAACCAGAATTTTACAGAATTTTAAAATTTTAAAGAATTAAATTGTGGCGACAAATTAATCAAAAAAAAGAGAAGAAGAAAATCTTTAATGTTCTCGAAAAAAAAAATTATTTATAATCTATCATCATCAAATATTCTATGGATGGCTTTGTGTCAAATCTTTCATCACACACACACACATGGATAAATAAAACGATGAACTAAAAACCAGGCCATTTTTTTTCGTTTAGTTTTTTTTTTGTTTTCAATGGTGTTATCAACATTTTCACATCTGTTTACACATTTACAAGAATCGAATCTTCTCCAATAACAACAACAACAACAACAACAACAAGAACAGAATCGAAATCAAATCAATATGTCAGAATGATGATGATGATGATGACGATGAAAATGATGATGATGATTATAATGATGATGATGATGATGATGATGGCATAGTTTGTATTGAATAATCAAATCGATCGTGAAATCAATGAAATGAATGTGTTATATGATAAAGAGGAAAAAAATTTTTTTTTTTTTTTGAAATTTTGATTTAAACAAGAAGACGAAAAAAAAATCTCATCATCATTCATTTGAATGTTTCAGAAAAATCAAGTGTGAAACTTTTTTCTTTTTTTTGTTTGTTACGTCTGGTTTCCTGAATGAATGGATGGATCATCATCATCATCATTAGATGGATGGCAAAGATATGATCTTCATACAGTGATCAATCTATTTTGTTGATGATGATGATGATGATGATGAGTATACATTATGTGAAGATATTTGTTGTATTTTTCATGTCACTCAACAACAACAACAAAAAAAAAAAACAGAAACAACCAACACTATTTTTAAACATGATAACAAACAAAAAAAAATCATAATTTAGCACGGCAGGCACGAATTTTCAATTTTTTTTCAATCTCTTCTCTCTCTAACTCTTTTCGGTCACCAATTTTACTATTTATATATAGATCAGGTCGAATGTATTTGATAAACATTCAATAACAAACAAAAAGTAAAATCAGCAGAATAAATCAGCCAGTTAACAAAGTAAGTGTTTTTTTTTCTTCATTTCATCATCAAACAAAAAGTAAGGAAAAAAACCGGAAATGTCAAACCTTTTTTTCTGTTTCTGGTGATATACACGGTTTTGATTATTTATTTATTTATATATACAATGCTATCACAAGTATTTCCGGTTCCGTAAATTTGTGACATTTTTCTCTGACATTATATAACATATATATACATGAAGATTTGTTTCTGATATATACAAAAAAAAAAAAATTATCTAGAAGAAGAAAATGAAGAATAAGAAGAAAAGAAGAAAGAAGAAAGAAGAAAGAATTCGAAATATTTCGATAAATGTCAATTGTCAATGGTGATTACAGTGCCTGAAGGTGAATGAAGAAAAAAAACGATATGATAAAAATAATGATAATGATGATGACATTACATGACATGACATTCACAATATCAGTGATCATTTTTTTTCTGTCAGTTATTATTCCGGAAAAAAGAAAGTGACATTTACAAAAACGACAACAACGAAAACCTGTTGTCACAAAATATGTTTATGAATATGAAAAATATATCGTAATGGTCAGAAAAAACAAAAAAACAAACAAACCTACCTTTTACTTTGAATGATGAAAAACGCAACACACAGGTACACAAAACAAATTATTAAAAATATGAGAAAAAAAAACAAAATTTCTGGTTGTTTTGAATTTTTTCCACAATAACACTGATCTGACGAATTGTTTTTGAGTTTTTTTTATTTATAATAACAATAATAATTTGAACAGAAAACACCTGAAACACCAAGCACAAACACACAAACACTGACACACACACACACAGAGAGATGCACGAATTTATTAAGAATGAAATGATTAATTAGAAATTTAAATTCTAAATAGTGTTATATATAAGAAACAGGAGAAAAAATAAACAAACAGAATGTGTGAAGAAAAAAAAAAGACGCAAGAATTAAAAACCATTGGACATGAACCGAAAAAAATGAATGAATGAATAAATGAATGAATAGAGAAAGAATCGACAATAAACGATGATGATGATGGTATAAACGACACAATGAAGATGGCTACATTTTTTTCCCGGTATATGACTGCGAAAAAAAAGAAGGAAAAGAATTTTTTTCCACTTGCTCCGGTTATTGTTTGTGAGTTCACTGATTCTTTCATTCAATTCAAATATATAAACCAATGGAATGGTACGGCAAATACACACACACACACACAAACAAGACACACAGGCACGCATAAACACTATACTCAAGTTAACATTTTTTGTTGTGTGTATAAACGGTATAGTAAGGGTTTCTGACAGGCGCAATTCAAAAAAAAAAAAAAAAATTTCTCTTTACCATTCTCTATTATTCTTTATATATTCAGAACCAAAAAAAAAAAAAAAAAAGTAAAGAATCAAAAATTAAAGAATATTCGTTTTTATTTATTTTATTCTCTCTCTCTCTCTCTCTCTCTCTCTTTTCTTTATCTACACATTTTTTCTTTTATATTTCTTATACATTAGCTGGATGAATGAAATGGATCATCATCATTATTGAATAATGAATGAATGAATGAATGAAACAAATCAAGAGAAAATGATATTGATGATGGTGAATAAGCAAATGAACAAGAATAGCAATGAATAAATGAAATGAAATGAATGAATTGAATGAAAAAGAATAAGAATAAAAATTGAGAAAAACAAATAAACCTGAAAATGTGAATGAATTCATCCATGAATAATAAAATGATGACGATGTAACAGGAGAGAGAGAGAGAGAAAGAGTGAAAGAAATTCGTTTTTTTTTATCTTGTTTGATCCAAATTTTATCACAGAAAAAAAAATCATGTTAAGGTGTCCATATTGTGTGTGTGTGTGTGTGTAGAATCTGAAGAATTGAAAATTATTCTATTTTCAACTTTTTCAACTGTACATTTATCATTTTTGAATTTTTGTTTTTTGTTTTTTTTTCACGAAAACATTACCACCATCTATCGATTTGGATTCGAAAAAAAATAAATGTTAACTTTATCATTTATTTTTTGAAAAATTGCAATGATAACTTTTTTATTTTTTTGGTCTTGTTTTTGAAAATTAAAAACGTAAAGGTAAAAAAAAATTCAGTTTGGTTTTCAGAATATAAAATTTTTTCGAGTATTAATCAATACGTATGTTGACACGATGCCAGGAATTATTTAAAAGGCCACGAAAATTCCAAATTTCAGCACTAGTAGCTGGTTGAGTATTATGACTGGAATCGAATGCACGACATATGATTTGTATTTGATTTCCTTGATATAATTGTTCCGTTTTCAATGGTAAATCCAATTGCCACAATGTCCATGAATATGTGTGTGTAGATCCTTTGGTTGGTGTTTCCTGTTCAAGTTTAGCTTCATACCATGTATGGCCATCATCTATTGATAAATCAACACGAATAACCGAACGTCCACCACCGCTCCATGCATAACCGGCTGCTTCAATTACCGGTTGCATTTGGCCATCGAATTCTTTCCATACAATTTTAACATGTTCCTCTGGTTTTGGTTTGCAAATAGCTGATTGAATGGGCATCTCTTGGATAGCATGTGCACGAGCAAATTCTTCCGGTGTAGCATGATTTTTGTTTGGCGGAAAACTTTTATAATCATTCCGTTGCCAATGTGATGTTGATTCATGATCATTCAAAATAATTCTAGCAAGCCATTTAACATTTCGGGCACCAACAATACCAGGTGCTATTAAACGGATAGGAAAACCATGATCAGCAGGCAATGGTTCACCATTCATTTCATAAGCCAATATAAATTCAGCATTCGGATCTAAAGCTTTATCAGCTGGAACACTTGCACCATACGGTGCAGCAGTAGCATCCAGATCTAATCCTTCAAATTGCACATGTTTAATCGATGGATGATCAAGTTGTGCTTGGCAATAATTTAACACATCCATTAGTTTGGCACCACTCCATCGAGTATTACCAATTGCACCCAATTTCCATCCAATTCCTTTCACTTGTTTAACTTTATTGAGATCATCACGTCGATTACCACCACATTGTATTACACTAGTTACAGTATGTTTTGGAAACAATGTTTTCAATTGTTCCAAACTAAATTCAAATGTATCATTCAATCCAAAACCTTCAACTTCGAGAACATAATCATCAACATCAACACGTGGAACTGAAAGATGATTACGGATGAAAAATTTTTCACTACAGAGAAAAAAAAATAGAAATGAGAGTTAATTTCATATGAAAAAAAAGAATAACAAAAATTACTTTGGAGTGTGGAAATTTTGCACTAAAATTTCACCGGGTGTTTCAGCATTGAAAGGTTTATCATGATGTAACAACAATGATGGATCACGTACAGGAATGAATTCAAATGAATCGGAATCACCATCATTTTTATCAGGTTTTAGACGATCTTCCACTCGAAGATTGCCGATTCGATATGATTCAAGAATATCGTACACTTGTTGTGTATGATGTTGACTATAAACCTACAATTTATGGAAAAAAGTCGGATAATTGAGTGAAAAAATTACCAACATACCTTCCAGAATGGTTCAACGGAATTACCGGCACCAAGTAAAATATTATCACCACCAGGATGTTCATTTATGAATGGGGTAACATCATAAACACCAGCTTTATATACGATCCATACGCCTGAATCGGTTTTTGGATCATTGTGTTTGGCCACTTCAGCTAACGAATAAACAGGTAATCCATCGATTGGTACACCTGGAATAATTTTTGAATCGTTTTGGTTGTTTTCTTTGGCAAATAGTATCCATTTTTGTTTGAAATATAATTTATATAATGAATAAATTGACAAAGTTGCCAACAAAACACCGCCATATATTGAATGATAATCTGTCCATTTACGATCCCGAAAACGATATTCTAATTTGTAAAATTCAATTCGATTGAATCACGATTGAATCATCATTGTATATGAACAGATTGTTGATTTATTACACATACGATTATCTTTCGTTTGTTTTGTCGATTTTGTTGTTGTTGTTGTTGATGATGATGATGATGAAAATAAAAATCTTTGATAATTATTCGTATACCTGAATTGTTTTGGTTGCATTCGTATACATAACAATGATGATGTTGATGGAAATATTCTAGACAAAATTCTACTCATCATCATCGATTGATTATTATTTTTATTATTATCGATTATATCTAACCTAAATCTAAAAAAAAACAAGCACAACAAAATTATTCAAATGTCATTTGGACTCGTGTGTGTGTGTGTTTATGATAATGATGAGTACATGTGATATAAAAAAAAATGATGCTAATGATACCCAAATGAGCAATGCAAATCAAAATAGCGGATTTAAATACTATTATTTTTTATTGATAAATTGATAAATAAAATTAAAAATTAAATTAAATTAATTAATGAGAAAAAAATCGATAAATTGTAATTCATTTCAATTACAAATCATTAAATTTAATAATTATGATGATGATTAGAATGAAAAAAGAATTATTAATCATAGAAGACTTTACAAACCACAAACATGAAAAAGAAGAAGAAGAATAAATTCATGCAGAAATAATAATGTAGATTTTGTTTCTTTGTTTGTTTGTTTGTGTTTTTAAGGGACAAAATAAAAATAATTCTAGCTTGTTTATAAAGCAGATGAGAAAAAAAATTATCATCATCATCATCATCATTACGGAAGCAAAATAATTCATAGGAAAAAAAAGTAACAAGACAAGATAAAAATGAAAATTGAAATATATGCAAATTCATAATCATAATCGTTTGTATATATATATACGCTTTCAATCAATCAATCAATCAATCAGTATTAATGTAGAAATTTTTTTTTCCAATTGAATTTGAGTAAAAAAAGTTTGATGAGAAAAACATTTGTCGAGCAAAACAAAAAAAAAAATGGAAAAATAATAATGAGGCAATATGATTTGCATGGCAATCGAAGAAAATGTTTAATTCATATACGGCATTTATGATTAATTGCACCATTTTTTTGTTGTTGTTGTTGTATATTTTTTTCCCAGTATTTAAACATTTTTAAATGAGAATTATTGTTTTTTGTTTTTTTTTGTTGAAATTCTGTCGAATATTCTCTATTAATTTTTCGTTATTGTAGTTATTGGTAGATTATTATTGGCCATATTATCACCATTATGGCCATTAACATCTACTGTTACATGATTATTATTCATTTGATCTTGCTGTTGTGGACAAGATGGTGATAATGTTGATGATATCATTGATGATGATGATGATAATAATGAAGTTGATGTATCCGATATTGAACACATCGCTTGTTGTATACTACGTTCCCAAATATGTAATAATAATGTAAATGAATATCTCATTGGCATATGACGCATATTACAGCCAAAATTTGAGTAAATTCTTGAGAAAAAATGACAATTTTTATATTGTTCAGATTCAAGTTCACAATATGGTGGAACATTTGGATAATCTTCTGGTATATAGACAATAATTGGTGGTACGGATGGTAAACGGCTATCATCTAAACGACAAAGTAAATGTTGACATTTAGATGAACCAAATCTACGTGCCGATAATGCTTGAACCTTAAAACGTAGATCAAGCCTAGCAATTTCACCTTGTAATATATCTGGTAATGGTTTTTTATGCGATAAACGATTCATTCGTCGTTTCCATGTTTCAATACGACGATCAACTAGGCCAGCTTTTTTCATCATTGTTTTTCCTGAAACATTATTATAACAAATGTAATTACCGCTTACATTAACACGATGTGCCAATAGATAAGGATCAGGATTCAATACGGATAATGCTGGACCAAATGTTTTATGTGCAACATGAAAATATGTTGGCTTACGAAAATTACGTGTAACAGCATCCAATAATGACTGACAAGTATCTTGCATTCGTGAATGTACGGTCGATGAACCGGATTGACTTAACAAAGACAGTGATGACATTGTAGGAATCATACCAGAAGCTGTTAATCTAGATTTATTCAATGATGGCAAATCTGCCATATTTATATTATGATTAGTAATATCCATTTTACCCATAGTTCCATTATTGGCTGATAAATTTTTATTTGCTAAAAAATTAGCCTGTGATTCAAGTGATGCTTCACATCGTTCCAACAATTCTAATGTTGTACGATTGACACCGGTTAAAATCTGATAAAGATTTCGTGTTTTATCCTTATTAGAATCATCCATATCATTTTTTTGCATAGCTTCTTTCAATGGTTCAATATATTTTTGCATTGATTGTAATTTTTCCTGATACAATTGATCTTTAGTACGAGCCGATTGTGCTGTTGGTACCGATCCAGGTGTGTTCAACGGCTGATTCTGTGGTGATGGCGTTTCAATAGAATGCGGTGGACGACTTGCTGGTGATGGCATCAATTGTGGCGCTGCTGGACTGCCTGTACCGATAAAATTAGAATTCACTGGTGAGCCATGATGATGAGCATGATGGTTAGCTGGAATCATTGTTGTTGTTTGACCAGCGCCAAGAACCGATCCACTTGTTGCCAATATTTTAGGCTGCTGTTGTTGTTGAGCGCCCATTGGTTGTGTTGGCTGTACCCCAACACCTGCCATTGATTGTTGTTGCGATGGTTGTGATTGTGGCTGCTGATTTGCAGTAAGAATCTGAGCCGAAAGTAAACCTTTATTCGGTGGACCAACAGGACCTACACCGCCTCCCATTACATTATTATCGTTTGAAGGTATCGAAGTGTTGGCCGTTGTCATCATAGTTGCTTGATTACCTGGTCCTAATTGTACTGATACCTGTTGCTGTTGTTGATGTTGTCGAGCTACAGCAATTGCTTGTTGTTGATGTGATATTAAGGTTTGACCGCCAGTAGAAGATCCGGTTACAATTTGTGCTTGTTGTCCAAATTGATTAGCAAATTGAGCAGCTTGCGCCATGTTTCCAGCAGAATTTTGTGCTTGTTGCGGTTGTTGTTGAGCCATAGTTGATTGCATGTTTGCCGTGTTAACATGTTGCATTTGATTAGCTTTATTGATGAATTGTTGTTGTTGAATAGCTGTTGAAGTAGTCATACGTGATGTAGGATGTTGATCCTGGAACGGACCACTTTGTAGCTGCTGTTGCATTTGGATTTGAATCTGTTGTGTATTTATTTGTCGAGGCTGTTGTTGATGTTGTAGAACTAGAATCGGTACCGATCCTGGTTGTTGAGATGTTTGTTGCTGTTGTTGGCCAATAGTACTCATCATATGGGTTTGTCCGGAAACAGTTTGTTGGATATTAGCGGCAGCCAGTTGGGCTTGTTGTTGTAATTGCTGTCGAGGTATTCGTAACTGTATATTTTGATTAATTTGACGAATTTGGCTTGCATTTGCATTGGTAGCAGCCAACATTCGTTGATTCATCATCTGATTCGGTTGCATCATCCGAGCACTTGCCGTACCTTGTTGTTGAAGTTGTGATTGTAATGTCATTGTTGGTTGTTGATTCGATCCAACTGTCATCTGATTCGTTTGCTGTTGTTGCATTTGCATTGCAGCCAATTGTTGTTGGTTTGCTTGCTGTTGTTGAAATTGTTGTTGATTACTGACCATTATTTTAGCTTTATTAGCGGCCATTGTCATCATTTGTGGATTGGCATTGAGAACCACGTTTGCTGTACCCGATTGATTTGTTATGGCTGTTACATTTGTATTTGGTTGCTGTTGTTGATTATTACCAATAAAACTACCGGCTGTTGGTATTGCCATCATTTTATTCATTGTAACTGAAGTTGGACGCTGAGAATTATTTGTGGCCATCATTTGCTGTGATTTTTGTTGCTGTTGTTGTTGATGAATCGAATCACTAAGATGGCCACCAGTTGTAGTCATCATCATATGAGTTCCAACTGGTTTTGGTCCAACACCACCACCCATGTTATGTAATGCAATCGCATTTTGATTCATCATTTGTTGTTGTTGCTGCTGCTGTTGTTGTTGCATTGATTGTTGTTTTTTAGCCATAACAGTTTTAAGAAAATTCTGTGCATGATTCCAATAATCTTCTGGTGTTGGATATCTTTTGTACAAAGTATTTTCAATATCTTCTGGCACAAAGGGTAGACCAGTTTTAGCTATCGTTTCTCGCATACGCTGTAATACTCGTTGCCTTAATTCATTTGTTATATTTTTTGTAGCCTGTTGTGTTGGCTGTACCGATGTTCCAGGATTAGTGGCCATTATTATATATTAGTATTATTCCTTTACGGATTTTGTTCGAACGATGGAAAAGAATGAGAATTGATTAAATGTGGTACACGTAAGCACCTTGAATTATTCATTCCAAAATGATAAAATGAATATCATATCAGCTGTTTTGAAAGTGTTGAAAATGAATTTTCAATTTTCAATTCAAACACAATTTTATGATGACTTGATAATTAAGGAATTTTTTGTAAGAATATGATGAAATGAAACCAGGCCGGCTTTACGGGACACACTAATGTATACACAATGGAGGCTTATTTGAGGGACTATAGGACCATATAAAAATATTAATATTAATATTCAATTTATTATTATAATATATATGGCTAGGTCTTTGGGACTAGCTAGCTAATCGAATACTCACTTGCTCATTTGCTGGCTCATTCTTCTTCATCATTCAATACCTTGGTGCGCGTGTGTCGGTAAATTTTTACAACCCTCAAATGGTTAGAGTATCATTATTTCACACAAAATAAAATAAAAAAATAAAATAAAAAAAAATAGCTGTAGTAGTAGCAATAGTAGTAGTAGTAGTAGTAGTAGGAAAATAAAATGTCCGATATACTTATTTGTGTAGTAGCCAGAAAAGTAGTAGCATGAAACACAATGTTAATAACTTAAAATAAAAACAAAGGTTCATCCATAAAGGTAAGAACAAAATGGAATGACTAAAATGTGTGAATCAATCAATAAATGATCATCAATGAATATTTTGATAATTAAAAGAATTTTTTATTTCACAGTTACATGAAAATGCAAAAAAAAAAAAATGAAAATGAAAATGAAAATTTAAAGCATCAATTTTTTTTTCTTTCTGAAAAAAAAATTAAGAACGCAAAAAAAAAAATTATCCCCTCATTCGAAACGATGCTGAAAACAGTACACTATTTTGTAGGTTGTTCCCACCCCCTCATTCTCTTTTGCGTTTTGATACAATTTTTTTCTGTCTATTTACATCTCTTACCGTTAGTTTTCTCTTTCTATTTTTCTCTCTCTATCTAGCTCTGTTATCAAGAGCTAACTCAGTGGGACAACAACAAAAAAATAATTAACTTTTTTAAAGAGTTTTTTTTTTTAATTTACTCATCACCATCATCAATAACAGCGACGACGACAAAGAGGTAAAAAAAATATACAAAAAAATGTAATCGCTTATCACCATGATGATGATGATGATGATTATATTTAATGGCGGTGACTCAATTATGAAATGATTGACGATGATTCACATTTCATCTTAATCATATCATCATCATCATCATTCGATTGATGAAACCAAAACAAAACAAATTATTATTACATATATTCCCTTCACGTCGATAATAATGGCTACAAATAATGATTTAAATAGTAGCAACAATAATAAAAAATCAATAATTGAATTTTTACCATTTTCAACATTGATTGATTCATCATTTTGGTTTGAAATCAAACGAATCAAATTAGATGTACTAAAATTATCAACAACACCTATCGATATTTGTCCATCATTTTCTGTTCATACAAATATACCCGGTATAGTTACACTGAATTATGAAGCATTTGAATCATATGATAAATTATGTACAAGACGTGAACATACTGATTTAGATGAAGATTTATTCTATTTAAATGGTCAATTAATAATCTATAATACTCGTGATGAATTTGAAACAACTGATAAACATGTTCTTATTAATCAACAAGGAAAATTAGTAAGTATTGCTTCTGGTTTTTTTTGTAACGTAAAAAAAATTATGATTTTGTATTCTAATCAATCATCATCATCATCATCATCATAATATAGATTTGGGACGCATTAAATGATGAAACACTTTGTTCAAAAGTTGATTCATCATTAGAATATTATCTTGCTCGATTCTTTATGATTGTTTATGGTGATTTTAAATCATATGATTTTAATTTTTGGAATGCCTATCCTTCATTATCATTTCCACCGCATTGTTTTCGACTAAATTCACCAAATAATATCAAATGGAATCATCATTTTAGCTATGAACAAACCAATAGACTATGGCAATCATTTAAAAACATTCCAATGAAACAGCGATTATTTTTTGTTATTCTTTTGAAACCAACTAATAATAATAATAATAAGACTAATGATGGCCATAATAATGCTGTTTATTTTCAAAATTATGATCCTGAAATCGTTTTATTCAAAAATTTTTGGTCATTAGATTTCATTCAAAATTTATCAAATACAAAACAACAAGATGTAAAAATTATATTCACTTTTAGTGATTATTCTTCATATCCGAATTATCCTGGCTGGCTATTACGAAACTATTTAGCTTATATTCATGTTCGTATGGCACAATTGCTGAAACAATATAGAAACAATAAAACAATATTATGGTTTGTTCAACAATGTCTATACAATACTAATTTATTGATTGGATCATTATCGATATCACGTCATTATGAATGTGAATCAACATTAAAACCACAATGGTTTGATAAAATATCTAGCCGTTCTTTTATACATAAAATTGCTATGCTACCATGGAATTATAAGAAAATATCATCAGATCAATATATACAGGGTTTCATTGAAGATGTAAACAAATTCTATAATTCTAACTCATCGGATATTACTGATTGTTCGAATGATGGAATCAATAAATCCTATGTACCTAATGCAGTTGGCTGGGAACGTAATAAAAAATTAAATAATCGTCTATTACCAAATCAAGTGAATTGTGGCAATACTTTGAAACCGGAAATCATTGCCACTGATGCATTATATTTAAATCTTAAACTAATGAAATGGCGTCTAGTACAGAATCTTGAATTAGATAAAATAAAAAATACTCATTGTTTATTGCTTGGTTCCGGTACGCTTGGTTGTAATGTAGCCCGTACATTAGTCGCTTGGGGTATCAATCACATAACAATGGTGGATAATAAAAATGTTTCATTTTCAAATCCAGCACGTCAATCATTGTATACTTATCAGGATGCAATCGGTGGTGTACAATCGAAAGCACAGGCTGCCGCTATAGCATTACGATTGATAAATCCATCCATAGAATCCAAAGGAATTGATTTGAATATCAAAATGCCTGGACATTTATTCGAAAAATGTATGTTTTTTTTGCAATGTTGTATGATATTTATTTATATTCAAACAAACAAACAAACAAAAAAAAATCATTGTAGCTTTTGAAGAGGAAATGAATGAAATTGAAAATTTGGAAAAATTAATCGATCAAACGGATGTTGTATTTTTGATGACCGATACTCGTGAAAGTCGATGGCTACCAACCGTGATTGCAACAGCTAAACATAAGGTATATGATTATATGATTTTGGTTATGCTGAAATTTAATAAAAAAAAAAAAATTTTTCAACAAAAAACAGATTATCATCAATGTTGCTCTTGGATTTGATTCATTTCTTGTACAACGTTTTGGTTTACGTTTACGATTAAATAATAGTATTGATCAACAATCAAAATGGCTTGATATTTATAGCAAACAAACCAAAGTTTATAATCAATTATTTCCAGACAATAATATTGAACAAACATCAAGCTCAACATTACAGGCACCAATATTATTGGGAACACAGCTTGGTTGTTATTTTTGTAACGATGTTTTTGCACCATCCAATTCAACCAAAGATCGTACATTAGATCAACAATGTACGGTAACAAGACCAGGATTATCAATGATTGCTTCTGGATTCGCTGTAGAATTATTGATGTCCATTTTACAACATCCAGCCGGGTAATATCCATGCATACAATATTTTTATCATTTATTCATTTTTTTTTTGTTATTTTATAGACCTTTAGCACCATCAATGACAAGATTTCATGAACAATATAATATCAAAAAGCGAATGTCCGAATTGAATGATGAACAATTAATCGATATGGAACTATTGGATGTAGAATCATTATTGGGCATCATACCACATGAATGTCGTGGTTTTTTATCCATATATGAACAGATGACACCAAGTACACCACGTTTAGAATATTGTATTGCATGTTCAGATAAAATAATCGATAAATATCGTATGGATAAAAGAAAATTTCTTTATCAAGCAATTAATGATTCAAAATCATTGGAAACAATTACCGGTATTGAAATATTTCATAATGTTAATGATATCGATGTTAAAGAATTTGATATTGATGATAATAGCTATGATGAAGATGATAATGATGATGGAAATGATAAACAATTCGTACAAGTTTAAATCTAAATCTATTCGAAATATTATTTGCACGTATAAAACAAAATATAAATTAATATATTGTTATACATTGATAATTAACGATTACAACACTAATTCAATGCATGTGGTTTTTTTTTCACCTGAAGAAATTATTATTATCATCATCATCATTTTTATATTTGAATTTGTTTCTGTTTTTTTTTCTACAATATTATGTTTTTTCTTTTCATTTTATTTTCCATTTTTGAATGAATAAATTTGCATGCAATATTTTCGTTCGAATATCGATGCAAAAATCAAAAATTTGCAGATAATGTTGGCAACAAAATTTGAGAATATTCTTTGTAGTTTTGTTTATAAAATATATATTTGAATGATGATAAAAACACAGTAGTAGTAGTAGTAGTAGTAGGTGTGATATAATGATTTATAGGAAGAAACATTTTGATGATGAATTGATCAATCAATCGATAAATATGATTGAAATTATTTTGTTGATTTTTACCGTTGTAAAATCGATATTTAAAATCATAAATACCAACCGATTCATTTGAACGTTCATCATAATCGGCCCAATTCAATCTCCTCCACAAATTCAAGCTTCGTAGATCCCGATCCATCGTCGAACAACACTCTTACTTTTCGTCCATTGATCGTAGCCATCGTTGTCTTGTATAGACTCGTACTGTTTTGTGTTAACAAATTGTTTGTTACTGATTGTTTCGATGATTGACTACCATTGGATGTCGATGTTTCGGCCATTTGTTTTGGGATCGTTTGATTGATTGAATTTTATTCTCATAAATCAATTTCTTTAGCATTTTTTTTGTCTTTTATTTATCCAATGAATTCTCTTTTGTATGTGTGTGTGTGTGTAACAGAGATGATGGAAATAGAAAATGGTTAACAGAATATGATTTGTATAAGATAATGTTGGCAACAAAATTTGAGAATATTCTTTGTAGTTTTTTGTTTATAAAATATATATTTGAATGATGATAAAAACACAGTAGTAGTAGTAGTAGTAGTAGGTATTAATGATTTATAGGAAGAAACATTTTGATGATGAATTGATCAATCAATCGATAAATATGATTGAAATTATTTTGTTGATTTTTTTACCGTTGTAAATCGATATTTAAAATCATAAATACCAACCGATTCATTTGAACGTTCATCATAATCGGCCCAATTCAATTCGCTTAGATCAACTTCATTGAATTCTGTTGTATTGTCCATATTTGTACATTGAAAATGATCTATTGGTTCAAATAGCAATGGATCACAGCCACGGCAATCGAATTCAACAAATGGTTTAAAATTAAGTGAATCTTCAGCTAGATATGGTCGTATTGATCCTTCGATAACAGCTTTAACAAAAAAAAAATTAAATACAAAAAAAAACACAATAAAATGATGATGATAAAACTTACAAACATTTGATGGTCTTGAACAAGTTTTACATTTGAATATTAGATTTACGAATGATTTGCCACCCATCAATGGAACTTTATTATCATCGGAAAATGTCATGAAATTTTCTGTTTCCGTACCGCAATTATTACATTTAAACTAATTTTAATTAATAAACACAACAATAACAACAACAACAACAAAAAAACAGAAATTCATTAGAATGATTGAAAAATGAAATTTTCAACCAAAAAACAAAAAAAACAAAACAAACAAAAACTTACTTTCATATGATATTCATATTGTGATGTCACCTTTAGATTGGTGACATTTTCCAATTGAGCCCATATTTCCAAAACAGATACACGCATTTTTTTCCAATGATTTGTAATACCAGATAAACAAACTATATATGAGAAAATCATGAAATGAGAAATCTGTTCAATTCAGGTTTTAGCTTTGGCTGTTGTTGTTGTTGTTGTTGTTATACTTTCTTGTGGCTACAAAACAACAAAACATTCATAATAATAAAAAAGACACATCACCAAAAAAAAAAAAATGAATCAAAATAATGAACACACACATTTGAAGACTGTAGCAATCGAATTGGAGACAACAACAAAAAAAATGTGTGAGAAAAAAAATTTCACACGTTATAATTTTGTGCACATATATTGTGCATGTGATGACTAAATAAAATGCATAAATCGACATATATCGACCACAAAAGTATATATAGCCGTTGTCTTCTGTAAAAAAAAAAAATTATTTTTATTACGCATGTTTTCTTGAATCTATTTTCTTTCAAGCGATTTTTTTCAAGCGGAATATCATCCGGTTCATCAATTTGTTATTCCGCTTTTTTTTCGTTCTAATATATCCATGATCGATACGACTATTGTTGTTGTTGTCATTCGGTACATTATCGATCAATCATTTAATTATTATTATTTAGATATTAAAACTTGATCAATCGATTGCATCATAATATATTGATTTCGATTGAAAACAATATTGATAAATTAGAAACAAAAGAAATAGAGTGAGAGAGAGATTGCAAAATGAAAACAATTATTGAACCTTTTTATAATCAATGAAAATATCAATTAATTAATGGGCTAGAATATTCTCATCAGATGACTGTAGATACAGCGATGAAAAAAAACGAAAAATTTATATCAGATCAGACTATGTTTTATTTAGTTATTCTTCATTGTCCATAATGGATCAACTGAATTCAAATCATCTATTAGATTGGTTTATCCGTTATTTTGGGTATGTTCAATGTTTATTTGTTTGTATATGCATTGAATTTCATATATTCATCACATTTTTTTTTATTGTACAGCCATCTTGGATGTCAATTAGAAAATCTAGACAAATGTCCAACAAAATGGCAACGTATACGACGTTTAATTATCAACATCATATTCAATGTGTCTGTTTTTATTTGTTTGAAATTTTTCAATCCATATTGGAATGAATCCGAAAATGTAGAAAATAATAAAAAATTATTGAGTAAATTTCTAATCAATGTATTCAAACAATATTTAATTTCAATGTTCATCAGCAATACAATATTCATCTATTGTCGCCATCATCAGATAGTCAAATTGATGAATTTCAATCAATTTAATCAAATTTATAATGAACAAAATAATAAAAATTCAACATTGATGATTAGAAAAATTTCATTCACACTAATCATATCGATATTATTTGAATTTGCTAATATTTATCATGATTTTTACTATCAACAGATTTGCATTTCAATTTTACAATTCATCACATGTATTATATTGACAATAAATTCATTAATATTTTTATTTATTGTTCATTATATTAAACAAAGTACAATATATTGTTTGGAAAAAATTTATAAACAAAATCACAATAGATATTTAAACATTATGATAACAATGAATATGATTGACAATATTCGTCGATCATCAATCAAACAAATACAACAATTAGCTAATCATAATCGTTATACAAATCAGATTCTTTCATTTCCATTAATAATTTATTTATCATCATTAATTTGTGATACATTGATTATATTTGATGATTGTTTAGAAAATTCTGGCAATAATAATTCATTGTCATATGTATTATATTCAATAACATGCTGGTCATATACAGTATATATTATACATTTGGATATTAAAATCAATAGATTAATTCAACAAATATTCAATACAATGATCAAACATGAATCATTATGTTCAAAGAATTGTAATCAAACATTGATGGCAACGTTTACAACAACCAAACGACAATCATCATCATCAATGGCATCGATAGAATATTTGAAGAATCAGATACAAACAATAAATTTTCATAGACAGATAAAATTTTTTCTACGTAAAATACACATTATAGAATCAAATGAATTATATGAAATGGATTTCAGGCTACAATTATATCAATTAAAAATTGTTGATTTGAAATTATTCTTGAATATTTTTCTATTTGTATTAGCATATTCTGTATTAATTTATCAAACATTTAATTATTAAAAAAAAAATTAATCAATCAATCCTTATCACCATCATCATCATCATCATCATTATTCTTGTAGTTGGTATCAATTTTTTGAACAAAACAAGAAAAAAAAAAATATTCCTTCACTGTCATGTGTGTGTGTGTGTGGGGGGTGTGTGTGTGTCGGTGTGTGCACGCGCGATGAAGATTGTGTTAATAATTGGAAAAAATTGGAAAAGAAAAACACTGATCGGCTACATTGTGTTCACAAATTCATTTTCATTAATCTTCATTTTCAATTTTTCAAGCTTCTTGTTTCAACATAACAATAATAATAATGTGCGTGGGCAATTTTCATCATCATCATCATCATTATCAAATCACTTTTTCATTCACAATTCAATATGGTGGTAGTAATGATGATGGTAATGATGTAAACTTGTTGTTGTTGTTGTTATTGTTAATTGAAAAAAAAAGAAAAAAAAATGAAAATCGACAAAAGAATTATGATTTGGTTTCTAAGGATTTTGAGATTTTTTTTTGTTCTTTTTTTTTTTTTTTTTTTGGATGAAAAATGATTCTAAATTTTTTTTTTGCTGTCTTTTCTGTTTTGTTTTCATTGTTTGAAGATTTTCATATTTCAAATGAAAAATTTCATAATTTTTTTTCCCAATTTTCAAGTGCATATAGATTATTAAAGAATTATTGTTGAAAATAAAAATGAATAGAAAAAAAAAATAAACTAAGAAAATATTCTTGCTGTGTTGGTGTTGTTTAAAATCATTTTTTTTTATCAGGATTTTTTTTTTTTGTTGAAAAATCTTATTCGATTCATCATGAACATCCAGATGGCGTCATCATCGTAGTCGTTGATGTATAATAATAACGAGCAATGTAATTTGTTATCGATTGCCATCGATCGATTAGATTAAAAAAAACAGAACAAAAACAAATATATGTGATATATAATTAATAAATTTCATTGAATTAACAATGAAAAAAAAACAAACATAATTTTATTTCAATAACAAGAAAGTATATTGGGCATTGACAAATGAATTATATTATTATTACAAATTATTACATCATTTGAATTTTTAAAATTAAAATTTAAATTATTACAATATTACAATGTTGTCATCATTAAATGGGATATACACATATTTCTAGAAAAGTTTCAATATCTGAGATATCATTTAGTTCCAAGTTCAATAGCGACATACCAATGGACACATAGCTGGCTTCTGATTTACCATATATGAGTCCTTTAAGAATTTCAACAATCCTTTTGGGTCCATTCTATGATTGACCGTAACTTTTATAGCCACCTCTTCATCTAAGGTTGTAATAATTAAATGGTGATGATCGGGAAGAAAAAAAAACAACACAAAGAGCTGAAGCCAGAGAAACTCTGGTGCTGATAACGTGTTAAAAATAACAACAAGACAAACCTAACATCATCCTCACGTTGTCTTATTTCATTAAATTTCATTATATGTTCATCTTGTCGTATTGGTGATGGTGGACGATCACCACTAAAAGTAACACAAAAAAAATCATTTATATTCATCATTGATGAACACAAATTATAAAAAAAAGATTTAATTAATAAAATTTGAAATGAAATTGAAAAACAGATTTACAATGATTTGTAGTATGAAAGAATTATAATTATAAAACAAATTATTAATTTTCACACTAAAAAAAACTTTTTAATAAAGTTGTAGTTTAATAAATATAATAGACGGGCGGTAAAATAGTGATTCAAAAACTGAGCTACGAAAGGCGTAGGCAAGAAGAAAAAGACAAAACAGAATCTATTTTTTTGAGAATCGAAATAAAAAAAAAACATTAGCTTCAGTGAGTAGCAACAACAAAAAAACACTTAGTAGTATGAAAAAATTAATTTCGCACAATCATTCATATTTATATGTTTCAAACAATAATCTAATAAAAGAATTGTTTGTTATTTGTTGACCAAGTACAACAGAAATTTTATGTTGACTGGACGACCACGTGGAAAAGAATGAATCGAAAATCGAAAATCACAATATATAAAGCTTGTATGGACCATGTGCTTCGATTTCGAGAATAGAACTTTTTTCATATTCACAAGTATCTATATTCATACAGGTACATTTTTTGCACACACACACACACACACACACACACAAACATCAAAGTAACGGATCACCATAAATGTAGCGTGCATTCACAAAAGATGTAGCATGTGCATAATGGAGAGATGAAAATTTTTTTTTCACTCAAACACGGTCAAATTAACGTGTTTTCATCAAATCCGCACTAAACCTTTTATATTACATATTAATCTCAGCACATTTTCATGACTCATTGATGATGATGATAACTTTGAAATTCGAAAGAAATGCTTTATTACAATAGTAATAATAACAGAGAGAGAGAGATAAGATAAGATAAGATTTTTTTGTCGAACATTTCAAAATTTACAGTTTCTTTGCAAATTTTTTAATCATACTAATAATGATGATGAAGATGATAAGAAAAAGGAATCGGAATTTCTTTTCATTTCCTATTTACATTCAAGAGATGTCAGTTATCTATAAAACGTCATATTTGAACGTGAACTCATTGATTGTTTGTTTTTTTCGTCATTTGAGCAAATAAAAATGATTAGATAATAACACAGATAAATGATTTGAATATTAACATAATTTGATAATCAATCAATACATTTTTCTTGTTTTTTTTCGCCTAATTGGTCACAATGGATAAATAAATAATGATCATGAATCATGGATATCCCCCTCTACTGACAAAAACAAAAGAATCGATAAATTCGTTGATTATCATCAATATCATCATCATCATTATCAAATACAATTCAATATGGTGGTAGTAATGATGGTAATGATGTAAACTTGTTGTTGTTGTTGTTGTTGTTTATTGAAAAAAAAGAAAAAAAATGAAAATCGACAAAAGAATTATGATTTGGTTTCTAAGGATTTTGAGATTTTTTTTTGTTCTTTTTCTTTTCTTTTTTTTGGATGAAAAATGATTCTAATTTTTTTTTGCTGTCTTTTCTG